AACCACTCTTCTAAAAATGTTCTAGGCGGCCGCCTAGACGCTAGGCGGTGTCCGGGCGCCTCCGATTTGCACAAATCGACAGAAAAAATTGGCCAGACGGATCTAGGTGGGCTCGGCGACCAGACGATTAGGCGGCGCCTAGGCGGACCTAGGAGCTCCTAGGCGAGCTCGGCTACAAATTTTTAATTTTTTTTAATTTTTTTAAATACTAATTATATTATTTTGTTCTCATGTTTTCTCTAAAATATATTAATTTTATTATTCGAACTTATGTGTGTCGATTTATTATAATTTGAGATAACTTTATTTTCTAAGTACTTAAAATAAATAAAAAATAAAGTATTTAATATTGATTTTTAGGCCCCGCCTAGGCTCTTTAAGCGTTGGTCGAGCGTTTAGCCACTTTGAACATTAGAGTCCATTTACTTATCACTATTAAATAGTGTGGACTTATAATTCATTTATTTATGTTACATAGCCTTTTGATATTTTACATTATCGGGCCATGTAATATGTATAGATGGATGTCAGGCTCCATATTAATTATTAGAATCCCTTATTAGAATTATATTTTATGACTGCAATTTTTGATTTGTCAAAGTGGGAATGTTGGGCTGATTACAAGTCAAATAAATAATTAAAAAAAAAACTATAGTAACACCAACTACAATATTAACTAACCAAAAAAATTAATATTAAAAGTAATAGGTAAACAATAACACCAACCACAATGACATAAATAGCCTATGATGCAGACAATTTTCAACCCCAGGAGTAAATGCACTAAGTCCATTGTTAAATACTACCTCTTATTTTTAATATATGTCGTTTTGACAAGTTGCACATTAATTAAGAATATTTTTTTTTACCAATAATAACCTTATTTAATGAAGATAGAGATGAATGTTTTGAGAAAAAAGTGAAGAGTGAATATGAAAAGACGCAATGCATTTATTAGTTAAATGAGGGTAACAATGAAAAAATATGTACAATAGATCCAAAACGACATTTATTTAGTTAATAGTTGATAAAGCTAGAATGACATTTTAAAAAAAATAGGAGGGAGTATTATATTTAGTAAACTAGTTGAAAAGTTAGCCGATAACTTATAAGTGAATTTTTGAGTTTATAGTTGATAGTTCTGACTGAAAAAGTTGGTTGATATAATAAAAGTGTCTGATAAAATTAGTTGATAATTACCAAGCCAACTGAAATAAATACTTCAACGGGTTTATTCGATAGTTTATAAGTGAATTTCAAGCTTATAGCTAATAGTTTTTAACTTATGACTAAAAAGCTACATGATATGATAAAAGTGTTTGACAAAATTAGTTAATAAGCTAGTCAACTGAAATAAAAATTTCAACGGATTTTAACTAACCAAATAATCTGTAAATTAGTTTATTTGTTTTACCAAATATAATCTCAATCGGTCCTAAATACTTATATTTTTCTAATACATATATGTACATATATTAAAATAGAATGTCTTACTATAACTATACATTCTTATTAAAAAAATACGGATCAATTATTAGACCAACGCGTGTGAATTGTGAGTAATAGATAAAGGTTATGTTTGGTAAAATTAGCTGATAAGCTAGCTTATAGCTTATATGTAATTTTTGAGCTTATAGCTTATAGCTTATGACTTATAGCTGAAAAGCTAGCTTATATGATAAAAGGTGTTTGGTAAATTAGCTGATAAGCTAGCTGAAATAAAAAAATTCAACTAACTTATTTGAAAAGCTACCTAAAGTAGCTTATGAAATAAGCTCGAGCTTTTTAAAAAAGTTCGTCCTATCAAACGAGCCTTATTTTAAACAGGGAGCTTATAAGCTAACCAAATAAGCTAAAAGCTAGCTTATTTGGCTTACCAAACATACCCAAAGTCCGCAACTTAAACTTTGATTGGTTGAACTGATTAAGGAAAATAACAGTAGCTCGCAATTTAAAAATTTTGATTGGTTGTTGACTTTTTACGATCATTTTCCCACATTTTTGGTGAATAATCTTATTGGTTTAGGTATTAACAAATCATAAATACCATTTACTTAATTTTCATAATATGGAATATTATCGTTAGCAATAATTTTGAAATAATTTAACAAATGTAATTTATTTAAGTAAATAGGTTTATTTTTTTATTAAAACATAACATTGTTTTAGAAAAGCTCCCCTACCCACGGTGGGCACATATTAATATGTCCACCGCGTAGGTGGCATCCACTCATTGGTGATGTTAATATATTTAAAAAAATACATCACCAATGAGTGCATGCCACCTACGCGATGAGCATATTAATATGTGCCACCGCAGGTAGGTGAGCATTTCTCAACATTGTATAAATACACAAGATAGTGGTTTTCGCATATACAAACTAAGCTTGGGTCTTCAAATTAGTGGGCCCAAGGTGATCTATTTTCCTACCAGGCCCAGCCCACGACTAAACTAGTAAGTCAATAATTGATTAATAAAATGAGGTGATACCTGAAAATACTTTGTGTTGAAATAGTAAGCCAATGCTTATTACAAATGATCACTGGACCCCGAACTCATTTAGGAGTCCACGAGGCTTTGGTCCGAACCATAAGAAGCTTGCCAGATCGGGATTGGAGCATTCGATTTCAACATGTGCATAGAGAAGCTAATTTCGCAGCTGATCATATGGCAACTCTAGCAGCTTCTTTCCCGTTAGGACTACAAAGACTTTCAGTACACTCCCGAGGGTTGGAGGCATGGCTTGACCACGACTCACGTGGGTGGCTCACCCCCGCCGCGTTATAGCGTAATTTAGGCCTCTGGCCTCCTTTATAGTACCCAAAAAAAAAAAGAAATAGTAAATATTTATATATATAATAAATATACATAATAGTAGATATTAGTTACATACTATCAAGGTAACTAAATGATAGACTAGCACGCTTTGAGATTCTATTTAGCACAATATATTTAGCACAAATGCAAAATCTTATTTATCTTGACTAACTTTTATTTTAATTTACTTACAATTCATAACTAATTAGGCTTAGAATTGTCCATAAATATATTGGATATTTATGACATTTCTATGTGCATTAATTGTGTTTTTCAATAAATATTTATTTTTGGTTTATAAGAAATGAAAATTTTGCCTCAATCTTTCTTTTTCTCCCAAGTTTTTTTTTTATAATACATTTTACCAACTTAAATTGCAAATATACTTTAAAAGTAAATTTTTTATTTATTATCAATTTTTTCTATATAATATATCAAATCAATCATTCTTCATTAGCTTCGATATGACATTTATATTGTATAATAAATTAAGTAAATAAATAATTGTATATATTTACAAATAATAAACAAATCATCTATTAATTTTAGTTGGAAAAAATAAAATTATTTATAAATTACATAAAATTAACTACAAAGTAGTTATATGATATAAATTAAAAAAAAAATATTATATTATAAGATAATTAAGTAGTATATATAAGTGTCATTTTAAATATTAATAATAATAATATATTTTTTCAAAAAAAACATGTGAAATTTAAACATACTTTCTTTTTTACTTTTTAAATTTATATATAATTTTTTTTTAACAATCACGTGTTTAATACACGGGTAAATTAACTGTTAAATGAATTGACCCGTTATCCCCTTTCAATAAAAATTCATTTTTTTTTTATTTTTTTTTTTTTTTTTTTTGTTAACACATAAGAAAGAATATATGGTATTAATGGTCTTATGTCTTCTTAAACTTTTCCATATGTCTTCATTGGACATTGCATGCATATAGCTAAAATTAGTACTAAAGATGCCCATCAATTTCTACGTCCAGTCTTGCATGGGGAATCTTGAAAGAGAACAGCATGATGTTTATTCTATTTCAAGTAACCATGTGAAGCACGTTTTGAAAATTCTTCACATGATCAAAATTTTCAGATCATTTTTCCTAATTTTCCTTAATTTAATGTTATGGAGAGGTATAATTAAGCGGTTAGACAATTATATTTTTGGTAAAGGCTAAGATCTCGTTACGGAATCATTCTGTCGGGTTCGTAACCGTTAGATCATCATGTAACCGTCACAGATAGTTGATCTAACGGTTACAAACCCCGACGGAATGATTCCGCAAAGAACCGTAGCATTTTTCTATATTTTTTAACAGCTATACATATTAGATTGTTTTCAAAATGAAATTAATACGAATAAATCTGTCAATTTATCATAATTGGTCAATATTCAAGGAGAGGTTACACTTAATCTGATCTAACTCCAGTATAACTTAATTTGTTCAGTAGATTATCTGCCATGCATGTCTTCATCATTAGGTAAATTCTGTTTAAATTTGTCACCTATAAATAGGCCTTGAGCTTGCACCTCCTTTTTTCACACAACAAAATCTCATAATAGTCAATAGTCCATATTTCTCTTCTTCTCCCCTGCTATAGACTATACTCCCCAATGGCTAAGCTTCTAATTGGTTCGTTCGTTATGCTATTGATCGCGATCGACAGCTCGTCTGCTCAATTATCCACGAGCTATTACGAAAAGACCTGCCCGGACGTGTTTACATCAGTGAAATCGGCCGTGAGATCTGCAGTTGGGAAGGAAAGACGTATGGGGGCTTCCCTCTTGCGTCTCCACTTCCACGATTGCTTCGTTCAAGTATTAAACCGTCTTTAAAATCTATTAGTTTCGTGTCTAAACATAACGCGTAATATTTCTTCTAGTGCTTTTGTGTAAACTGTAACGTGTTCACCGGTATTGTATGTAAATCGATCATTGACAGTGTAAAACTAAACTGACAGGGCTGTGATGGATCCGTACTTCTGGATGACACGTCATCTTTCACCGGCGAACAAACGGCCCGTCCGAACTCGAATTCGCTTAGGGGCTTCGACGTCGTAGACGAAATTAAGTCAAAGGTGGAATATGTGTGCCCTGGCATCGTGTCATGTGCTGATATTCTAGCCATTGCTGCTCGGGACTCGGTCGTTCTTGTAAGTTTCGATTTTCGGCTCTATATAGAGTTCGAAATAACTACCGAAACTACCTATCCCATTGTTTAGCCTAAATTAGTTACTATTACTTGAAAGATCGAATCGAAACTTTTGTAATCCACTCGAAACCAAGAAGAGTTTACTACTTAATTGTGTAGCTTGGTGGGCCCACTTGGAAAGTGAAAGTTGGGAGGAGAGACTCAAAGACAGCAAGCCTTTCAGCTGCAAACAGTGGTGTAATACCACCACCAACCTCAAACCTTGATGACCTTATAAACAAGTTCAAAGCCAAGGGTCTCTCCACTAAGGACATGGTTGTATTATCAGGTACCTGAGTATATATTCCCTTTTGAAAATCTTTGTCCTGATTAATTAACCATGGTTAAGATTATTAATTACCAGTGTTAATTAACTACAGCAGCAGCAGGTTCATAGTTCCTCTGTTTCCCCTGTTTCAATTTTCCTTTCTTCTGTCTTAAATAGATTTTTGTGTTGTTTTTTTTTATTTTCAATTTACTTATATTCCAATGACAAAAATGTCATCTTAGGAGCACACACCATAGGGCAAGCAAGGTGTGCTGTGTTCAGAGGCCGAATATACAACGAGTCCAACATCGAGGCCTCGATTGCTCGGACGAGGCAGGGGACATGCCCTAGAGCTAGCGGCTCCGGAGATAACAACTTGGCCCCGCTCGACTTTCAAAGCCCGACTTCCTTCGACAATGCCTACTTCAAAAACCTGGTGGCCCAAAAGGGACTCATGCACTCGGATCAGGTTCTGTATAACGGAGGCTCGACCGACTCCATTGTCGACTCGTACAGCAAAGACCCTAAAGCTTTCGAGAAGGACTTTGCTGATGCCATGATTAGGATGGGTGACATCAGTCCGCTCACCGGGTCGAATGGAGAGATCAGGAAAGTTTGTGGAAGACCCAATTGATGAAGAAGATGATTAGGGTTTTATTATTATTGTTTCTAAGTAGTAAAGGTTGTTAAGGAGGTTTTATGTGTTAGGTAAAGTCCAAGAATGGGGCTGTGTGATTTTAGTTTATGTCTTGCATGGTTTGTATGGTTGTGTCTTTCTTTCCAATGCATAATTTCTATCCAAGTAAGAATGGTTTTACATTTTAGTTTGTTTGTTTAGAAGCATACTAATAATAGTAAATAATTTG